TCACCACCTGCGTTAGACTTTCCGTTCTTCGGGATTCCTTCAGCGGACTTTTTGCCAGCAGATTTGTTAGTAACCTCTGAAGATTGAATAAAATTTTCGTTGTCCTTTTCCTTTTCCAATCCTCGACGCGATTCTTTCCTCCTTGAAGTCTTTTCTGAATCTGAAGATATATCTGCATTCTGAACCACTGTTGCAGTACTCGTCGCGGCAATTGTTTTCTTTTTCTCTTTTAATTTGGCTATAGCACCATTGACAGCCGTGGACAATTTGATATTAGTCGTTTTTTGATTTTCTGCGTTTTTTGCTTCACTCTCATCGGGTAAATACGTCGATTCCGACATATTTCCTTCTATTATCATATCTTGCTTTCCGGTCGACGTAGATTCATCAACCTCAGAAGTTACAGAAGTTACTTCGGGTCCATCACCTGCGAAATATGAATTTTCGACCACTAATGTTTCTTTGTTAGTGTCTTTTTCAGCAATGCTTTCTTCGACATTAGTGCTTTCAGCATTTGACGAAAACTCAAGTGACTCTGAATAAATAGCACCTTGCTCTTTTTTGACATCGTCTTCATCGTCCTGCCGCTGTCGATCAAGAACTCTCTCTGCGCTTACATATTCGGGACACGCATCAATATTCGGAGGTAATAACAAATCTCCGCTTATGCAATATTGTTGTACTGCCTTAGATTGAATACAATATAACGAAAATCCATTGGAAGATGTAGTATCCGGTATTATAACGAAGCTACCAATTAACTGATTTACCGGAAATTCTATCATGTAATCAAACTGCACCGAATTTAAGATGGAAAATTCATCCTGGGTTGTTATAGAATCGTATTCAAACTGTCCATTGCCCATCAAGTTGGATTGATTAAACAAGTCGAGCCTCTCCGAATTTTTGCTTGGCATGTTCAAATGTAGAGCAAAAATAGATATTCTGGCACTATTAGTTACCACAAGAGTGCGTGATCGTTGATCGAAGCTAATGCAATTGAACATGGCTTCTTCCTTTCGATAGCCTTTGTTCAATGAAGGGCGACGCTCAGGTGGTGG